GCTCACACCCAGCAATCTGACCAGCCTTACCAAGACGCAGACATAGAAATAACATATGGATGATGTGGGTGCAGGTGAGAAAGGGGGCGGTACAGACCACAAGTTCAGCCCAGTCTGACCTCACAAGGTTTAGTATGTTTGTTTTTGTCCTTCTGTGTTTATAGATTGACCCTCGTATAACCTCCATATGTTAGAAAAGTCCAGATTGAGAGACTTTGGGGGACTAGTGCGTGCTTGGTAGGAAAAACTTGAACTTGTAAATAGCAAGTTGAGGATATTTATGACCCTGGGAGATGGCTGCTTCCCCCACTAAATCCTTGTTTATCCAAGTCCTGCCTCTCCCAGCCCCCGTTCTACAATAATTACAGGCCGACCGGACCGCAGAACTCCTGAGTCACCTGCTTGGAAAGAAGGGGTTTTTGGGAGTGCCTTCCGTTCCATTTGCAGAAACTAAAGAACACCAGGAAGCGACCCTTGACTCAGCCCGCCTAAGGCTTAAGTGTTGTGTCACTCCCCGCACGTGATACTCTCCCAGGCGATGGAGATTCGCGTATCATGGGACTTTTTCACCCCAGTGACTCCCCCCCTTTTCTTTACCCCTAAACCCTCTCACTTCCCCGCCCCGCCCCCTCTTCAGACTAGAGGAAAGGAGGGTAGTGGAGCCAGGAAATGCCCGGAGAAGCCAAGAAACTCAGTGTTTGGGAAAGTGCCAAGATGTGACGTTATAATATTACCCTTGTCCAGAATGCTTTGCACTTCCTCAGTTTTAGGCTGTCCTTACTCTCACTACCCCATACGGGATCTATTATTGATCTATCCTATTCGAGACCCCATTATCACTCAGACCTCGTCCTACTTAAGGTTGCTTTCCCTCTCCCTCCGTTTCCCACTTTTCTCTGAGCCTGGGATTCTCAATCAGAACTAACTGGATTTCAGTCTCCGATCAGCCTCCTTCCCGTTCTAGCTGCGTGACCTTGAGTGAACCCCAACTTTTCTGGGCCTGTTTTCCTGGTGTAAAACGGAGGCGAGACGTGTACCTCGCCACGCCGGAGGTGAGGAACACACGAGAACGCCCTGCAGGAGCTGAAAAGCAACAGGAATGTTAGCTATGTGAATCCTGCACAGCCAGCTACGCCGCCAGGACCCCTCCCTTTCCTCCGGGACCCGCCCAGCAAACCCCGCCCGCCCGGCGCGGGCAGACCTCCCCTCCTCCCCGCGCAGCCCGTCCCATTGGCGAGCGCACGGGCCGCGGCGCCGGGTGCTGACGCCTGGCCCCGCCCCCTCCGGCGCACGAGGACGCAGAGCCCCGCCCAGGCCTCGCTCGGCCTCCCACGGGGCCCCGCCCTCCGGGCCGCCGCGGCGGGGGTCCCGCCGCTCTGGCTGTTGGTGCAGCGACGGCTGGGATGAGGGTGCCCACTGCCCGCACCCCTTGCTCCGGCCTGAGCCCCCGGCCCGTCGGACCCAGTCCCAGTCCCTTTCCCACCCACTGGCGACGCCGGCCCCGCCCCCGCACGGAGACGCGTAGGCCCCGCCCCCGGCCGCGCCCGGCCTCCCGCGGGGCCCCGCCCCCTCAGGCCGACGCGGCGCGGTCCCGCCCCCGGGTGACGTGAGGTGCGCGCGGCCCCGCCGCCCCGGCAGTTGGTGCAGCGGCGGTTGGACTGAGTGCGCTCACCCCACCCCTCCGGCCCGGGCCCCCGCCGCGCCGGGCCCAGCCCCAGCCCCAGCCCCAGCCCCAGCCCCGGCCCTCGTCCGCGCCCGGCGGTGTGCGGGCCCTGCCGGCCCTCAGTCGGCCACGCCGGGCCGCCCGCCCGCCCGCCACCATGGAGCTGGAGGACGGGGTGGTGTACCAGGAGGAGCCCGGCGGCTCCGGCGCCGTCATGTCGGAGCGGGTGTCCGGCCTGGCCGGCTCCATCTACCGCGAGTTCGAGCGGCTGATCGGGCGCTACGACGAGGAGGTGGTGAAGGAGCTGATGCCGCTGGTGGTGGCGGTGCTGGAGAACCTGGACTCGGTGTTCGCGCAGGACCAGGAGCACCAGGTGGAGCTGGAGCTGCTGCGGGACGACAACGAGCAGCTCATCACCCAGTACGAGCGGGAGAAGGCGCTGCGCAAGCACGCCGAGGAGGTGAGGCCGCCGCCGGCGCGGCGAGGGCGGGGCCGGGCCCCGGGGGTCGCCGCCCGCCCGGCCCGGGAGCGGGGGCGCCGCGTCCGGCCTCTGGGGCGGCTCTGAGGCCGCGGCCCCGGGACCCGGCCCGGCGGCGCGCGGTGCCCGGGACCCCCGGCGGGCGGGGGAAACCGAGGCAGGCCAGGGAGTGTCTGGGAGGAGGGAGTGGGGTGGGGAGGAAGCAGCCTGGCTGGAGGGCACCTGGGCTCCGGGAGGGCGGAGGTTTTAGGGTGTCTGGCTGCCGGCTGTACTTTGGGGAAGTTTCCGACCACCGCGGGAGAGTCAGGTGGCGGTGCAGACGTTTACACACTTCTCTCCTGGATGTGGAACTTTGGCTGGTCCGGCACCTTCCAGGGGGTTCCAGCTTTGGGAAGCTGGAGATCTCCCTCTTTCGGTCAGTTTCTTCTTGACGCTTTAACCCTGCTGGGGAGGAGGTTTCGTTTATATTTTACGTGCTTTGGCTGACACTCTGTCAACACTTGGATGTTGTACGGCACTGCTCTGTGAGTGTAGAGAGTGCAGCTTTGTTTTATGGGCATCCCACACCGAAGCGATCCTCCCCATCAGGTGGTAACCTTGGACAGTTCCCTTTAAAAACCTCAGTTTATACCGAGGACTTGTGGGGGCGGGGCTGAGGAGGTGTGACTGTTGACAACCTTTTCAGACTGCAGTTTCCAGGTGTCCCGGGTCGATTGTTAACTGGCGCTCACACCTCAGCAGTGACCTCAGCAGCCGCAGCGAGGGCTGCGAATCCTGTGGCGCTTTGGAGGGCAGGGACAGGTCTTTGGCTTTTTGAGACAGGCAAGGATTTTAGCTTTCAGGCTGTGTTGGCATTATTTCTGTGGAACTGTCTCATGCAGGCCAAGTGTCCTAGTCATCTTTGTTCCCTGGGGGGGGGGGGGGGGTGTTAGCAACACCTGGCTAAATACATGGTGATGGAAAAGGAAGCTACTAAGTAACTCATTATTGAAGGAATTACATGTTATCTTTCAAAAACTACTTGAAAAGTTTTTAGGATATGAGACTTGTTTAAAGTAGTACCATGATTTAAACTTTTGTTTTGTCATGGATACCTTGGTGCCAGATCAAATAGTTCTTTTTCTTTTTTAAGCTTTATTTTAGTGATGATTTTTAGTTCTGATGTTGTGCTCCATTTGCCTCAAAGGGAGGCCATTGAATTTGCCAAACAAAATTGACTTTATTTCAGGAGCATTTTCAATCTTATAGGGAAGGAGGGTTGCAAAAAAATCTGAGGATGGGATCACAACTTCCACTAGTTTATTAGCACTGTTTATGCAACAGAGGTCATGTACTACTTCTGAAATGCATGCCATGTCTTCATGCTCAGACAGGCCATTGCCTGTGTGTGGATGTACTTGGAAGAGACTGGGAAGTTAACTATATAGACACAGGTGAGGAGCAAGCTCAGCATGACCTATAACCTTGGATGAAAGAAATGCTTTCTTCAGCCTTCAACTCTTGTCAGTCCATGCAAACACAGACAAAATGCCAGGGTCACACGGGCCAAGAAAACCATCTGCCACAGGTTGCAGAATCAGAAAATAAAACTAACTGCTAGGCTCTAGATTGTGTATTTTTTTTTTTTTTTTAAGTAAATGGCTTTTTAAAATTTCCTTATCCGATGATTTTTTTTGGTAATTTATATTTTTTCAAACACATGTGTAAATTCTCTATGAAACCTTTGGGCAAAGGGCCATGACCTGAGAATAGAGAACATTGATGAAATGCTAGATGAGCCAACTCCCAGACCACAAACATAAAACCACCTTGTTATCAGTCTCTGTAAGATCATAAATCAAGTATTACTGGGTATTCAGAAATTCAGTCTCTTTTTGGTCCGGGTGTAGAAGAGAATTGTGTGTTTAATTTTCTGTGAGTGCCCTCATAAATGCATTTCTTCTATTTTCTGTTATATTCCTTCTCATACTTGAATCCTCAGTAACATTTGACTCTTTCAGTAACTGCTTCTTTAAGAAACATTATATTCTGGTTCTGTGACTTTGGCATCTCTTGATTTTCCTCTTTTCTGACTTCTCTGGATTTCTCTTACATTACTTTTGGTGTTACTTGGCATTCTTTCTAAGAGTCACTTTAGTTCTCATTCTGCACACTGCCTAGCTTATATTATCCATTCTAGTAAGTTCAGTTACCATTTGTTGACTGTTCCAAAATGTATATCTCATTCATTCAACAGTTATTTATTTAAAAAATATATATATCTATATTTTTTTTATTGATTTCAGAGGGTAAGGGAGAGGGGGAGAGAGACAACCTGGGCATGTGCCCTGGCTGGGAATTGAACTGTGACCTCCTGGTTCATAGGTCAAGGCTCAGCCACTTAGCAGCACAGGCTGGGTGGTATTTATTGTCAACTATGTCCAGTGTATGTTTGGGATATAGTGGTGAGTAAACACACAAGATTCTTCATGCAGCTGATTGACAGCTTAAGAACTTTAAGATTAGATCTCTTTCTTGAGTTTCTGATTCATATTGTTTATTGGACATGAAAGTCTGATAAGAGACTTATCTCTCAAGCCTGCTCCTTTTCTGCTCTCTATCTTCCTGAGGGGTACCATTATCCCCTGGCTAGATACCTGGTCACCATCCTTAACTCCTTTTTCTCCTTCATCCCTATTGTACTTTCTTTTGTTTCCATCTTTTAAATATCTCTGGAATCTCTTTATCTTTCCTAATCCATTTCTTCTACTCTGTTTCAGGCCATCCACATCTGTTACCCTGAATCCAAACTCCATAGAGTTGGAAGTTTGCGTCATTCTGACTGTGTATCAATGTCTGATACATAGGAAGTACCCAATGAATTTTTTTTTTTTTTAGGAATAACAGTCAATTTTATTGGGCTCAGACCAGGAGTCCATGGGTCTTGAGGACCTCTGTGAATTGGTCAGTTTTCTTCTCCATGTTCTTTTCGGCCTGTTTCCGTAGCCTCATGAGCTGCTTTTTCTTGCGGTAGTGGATCTTGGCCTTCTCCTTCCTCTTCTCCTCCAGGGTGGCTGTGACGGCCTGGTACTTCCAGCCAACCTCATGGGCCAGGCGCCCGAGGTAGGCAAACTTGCGGGTAAGCTTCAGACGCACAACCTTGAGGGCGGCAGGAACCACTGTCTGCTTTTTCTTGTCATAGGGCGGTGGGATCCTGTCAAAAACCTTGAGGCGGTCCAGGGTGGCCTGGCCGCGCTTGGTCTTGTGGGGCAGCATGCCTCGCACCGTGCGCCAGAAGATGCGGCTGGGGGCTCTGAAGTGGTAGGGGCCGCGGGACAGGTTGGTGTTCATCCGTTTGCGGAGGAAGGCCAGGTACTTCAACTTGTTTCTGTAGAAATTGCCAGAAATGTTGATGCCCTCACAGCGCACAACCACCACCTTGCGGCCCAGCAGCACCTGCTTGGCCACGATGGCCGAGGCCATCTAGCACTAGGACCTGCCCCTCCGCCATCTTTGGCAGCCTGGGAAAGCCCAATGAATATTTTTAAAAATATATATTTTATTGATTTTTTTACAGAGAGGAAGGGAGAGGGATAGAGAGCTAGAAACATCAATGAGAGAGAAACATCGACCAGCTGCCTCCTGCACAGCCCCTACTGGGGATGTGCCCGCAACCAATGTACATGCCCTTGACCGGAATCGAACCTGGAATATTTTAGTCTGCACACCGACGCTCTATCCACTGAGCCAAACTGGTTTCGGCCCAATGAATATTTCTGAATAAATGAATGGACAACTAAACTGTCCCATAACTGATCTATCTGCTTTCAGTATTGTCAACCTATAAATTGGCCATCACACAGTACCCACATCTTTCCAAAATGGAAATCTGATCAGATCATTTCCATACTTATAGCCTTTAAGAACTCGATCTAAAGTTCCTAAGATGACTGAAGTATCTAACTCACAAGGCCTGTGATCCGCTGCTCCTTTTCTTACAAGCCTCATCTTTTCCTTTGGAGCCATACTGGACACTGCGTTTGTTTTGCGAATGTGTTCTTTCCAAGCCTTCTTACAAGCTGCCTGTATGCTTGGCGCTCTTTTTCTTCTGTTGCCTTGCTAACATCATTCATCTTTCAGATTTTATTCTGGGTGCTTTTTATGAACACCAGGTGCGGATTGTGCCCATCTCCTATTTTCCCACAGCATACGTTCTTTCCCTCTCATAGAACTTCCAGTGTTGCCAGGACCGGTTTGGCTCAGTGGATAGAGCGTCGGCTTGGGGACTGAAGAGACCCGGGTTCGATTCCGGTCAAGGGCATGTGCCTTGGTTGTGGGCATATCCCCAGTAGGGGGTGTGCAAGAGGCAACTGATCGATGACTCTCTCATCGATGTTTCTAACTCTATCTCTCTCCCTTCCTCTCTGTACAAAATCAATAAAATATATTAAAAAAAAAAAAAAAGAACTTCCAGTGTTACATCAAACTAACCTATTGCTTTAATCCCTTACTAAACTACTGGGATCCAGTAGATACTATTTTTTGGTTTGTTGGCTGAATGGATAATTATACTAAAGGTCAAATTGCTAAGCCTAACTATTTAAAGTTCTCTTTTGTGCACTCAAGATGTTGTCCTTACTGTTGGTGCCAAGTTATGCAAAAACTTCCAAAAAGTTCTTCAATCAATAAGTCCTTTGACTTTCACATATACAGAAAAACCATGACTTCTGAATGTAGTTACTGCAGACACTTCACCTACATTGTCCTATGCATAGTAGATATTCTATAAATATTTACTCTTTTTAAAAACTAAAATATGGCCCACACTGGTGTGGCTCAGTAGTTGAGTGTTGACCTATGAACCAGGAGTAAACGAAACTCAACAGGCAATTCACACAATTGTTTGATTCCTGATCAGGGCATATGTCCATGTTTCGGGCTTGATCCCTGGTGTGGGCATGCAGGAGGCAGCTGATCAATGATTCTCATCATTGATGTTTCTATCTCTCTCTCTTCCTCTCCCTTCCTCTCTGAAATCCATACAAATTTATTTAAAAATATAAAATAAAAATTGAAATATGAAGATTATTAAACTACTGTCGTAAATATTGTAGGGATTTCTTCTCTCTCATTTGTAAAGGTTGGGCTAGGTCCGTGGTTGGCAAACTGCGGCTCGAGAGCCCATGCGGCTCTTTGGCCCCTTGAGTGTGGCTCTTCCACAAAACACCACGGCCTGGGCGAGTCTATTTTGAAGAAGTGACGTTAGAAGAAGTTTAAGTTTAAAAAATTTGGCTCTCAAAAGAGATTTCAATCATTGTACTATCGACATTTGGCTCTGTGGACTAAATGAGTTTGCCGACCACTGGGGTAGGTGATCTAACACCATGATTCTTGTAATATTTTAAACTTAATTGTGGCTTTCTGTTGTATTCTTATTCATTTTAGTCACAGATATTTTCTTCTAAGTTACTGGTTGAGAAATAAGTTGGTCTGTCTGAATAAATTTTTCATAGAAATGAAGATTAAGTGCCAAGACTTAATTTTAACTATTTGCTTACAATCTTTTAAAAAGATATATTTTTATTGATTTCAGAGAGGAAGGGAGAGGGAGAGAGAGATTGAAACATCAATGATGAGAGAGAATCATTGATTGGCTGCCTGCTGCACGCCTCCCACTGGGGATGGAGCCTGGGCATGTGCCCTTGACCGGAATTGAACCCAGGACCCTTCAGTCTCCAGGCCAGTGCTCTATCCACTGAGCCAAACCAGCTAAGGCCTTATAATGTTTTTTAATGTATATTTTTATTGATTGTAGAGAGAGGAAGAGAGCAACATTGATCGGTTAACCCTCCCCCCTGACCCTCCCATGCACCACAACTGGGACCAAACCTGAAACCTGGGCATGTGCCCTGACAGAATCAAACTGGCTACCTTTTGGTGCATGGGATGATGCTCAACCAACTGAGCCACACCAGCCAGGGCTATTTAGAATCTTTTGACAGGCATTTCTAATTGGATACAAAAGTAGAACCCTACAGTAATAAATAAAATGGTTATTAAAACAGCATTTATATTTGAAGAAAAATTTACTCTGAAGAATAATAAACATTTATTTCTTGGGCACTGAAATCTATATTGGTTAAAAGCTTCTTCTAGGCCCTAACTAGTTTGGCTCAGTGGATAGAGCGTCAGCCTGCGGACTGAAAGGTCCTAGGTTTGATTTGGGTTAAGGACATGTACCTTGGTTGCGGGCCCATCCCCAGTAGGAGGTGTGCAGAAGGCAGCTGATCGATGTTTCTCTCCGATTGATGTTTCTAACTCTCCCTTTCCCTTCCTCTCTGTAAAAAATCAATAAAATATGCATTTAAAAAATTTCTCTACTAGGCTATTATGGTATAATTTTATTGATTGATTGATTTATAGAGAGAGAGAAAAGAAGAGAGAGAAATATTGATTTGTTGTTCCATTTATTTATGCATTCATTGGATAATTCTTATCTATGCCCTCACCAGGGATTGAAGCTATAATCAACTGAGTTACCCAGCTAGGGCTAAAATTTCTAATTTTAATAATCAAATTCTCAATTTAAATTTAATTTTAGTTACTTGTTTTATCATCATCATCATCATCATCATCTGGTTACTGCTGCCTATTAAAAAACAAATACATTTGTAAAAATTAAGCAGTTTACTCAGAAGTGTGGAATCAAATAAACAGACTTTTGTAATACCTGAAGGGTAACTTTTCTTTCTTTCTTTTTTTTAATATATATTTTATTGATTTTTTTTATAGAGAGGAAGGGAGAGGGATAGAGAGCTAGAAACATGGATGAGAGAGAAACATTGATCAGCTGCCTCCTGCAACCAAGGTACATGCCCTTGACCAGAATCGAACCCGGGACCTTTCAGTCCGCAGGCCGATGCTCTATCCACTGAGCCAAACCGGTCAGGACCCGAAGGGTAACTTTTCTTTTTGAGGAAGTAAGGGAGGGGAGAGGGGAGAGAGAGAGAGAGACAGACAGACAGACATCAATGATGAGAGAGAATCATAGATTGGCTGCCTCCTGCATGCCCCCTACTGGGGATGGAACCCACAGGACTGGCAACCTTTCATTTTAATTTCCTTTCTCAAATCACTGGTATGATTGAGCATATTTTCTTGATGATTCTCCTTTTCTTTTTTATGTGAATTGCCTGTTGAGTTTCATTTACTCATAACTGGCAACAACCTATGCCTGGCTAGATCTAAATTATACTTTACAATGGCTTTGTAGTATTCCCTAATGATCATCAATGGCTGCTTCAGCCTCTCTGTGAACAGGACTTGGAATCAGTAGTTTAAAAGAGACCTGAGAGATGTGTCATCCAAATGCAACATATGGACTTTGGAACCTGACTATGAAAGTGTTTATGAGACAGCCAGGAAAACCTGAGCAGTGACTGGATATTCCCTGTTATTTCATTAAGGATTGGGAAATGGTCCTAGTCTAACTCAATCCTTCAGCGTTTATTAGCTAAATTTTCTTATAAAGGAGAGCTTCCTTTATAAACTGGTTTACTCCCAAAGTATAGTTTGTACAAGAAAAACAGTAAGTGCTGGATTCTTTAATTTCCATACTTTTATGTTCCAAGAGCTCTTCCTTGTTCTTACTCTCCCTCCAAATCCCCAGTTTTAAAAAATAGCATACCATGGATGAAATGACTTTTCTTTGGCCTCTGAGTATATTAATTATAGCTTTCATTTGTTTCCTGTTTTATCTGTTTCCTCAGAGCCCCTTTCCCCTTTTATTTCTGGTCTCTCTCTTCCAGGTTGGAGCTTCAAATACCAGATCACCCTTAATTATCCCTTCACGTTTTTTAAGAGTGCGGTACTAAAAAAAGAAGGCTTAAGCTTTGTGAGGCTGGATGCAGCTTATTGCCTGTTGGGAACCCAGATTTTGTACCCCAGACATTTGAGTTTTTCCAAATAAAGATAGCTTCTTTGGAGATGGGGGAGGGAGTGGTAGGTAAGCCTAGTTATCAGAGGAATCTGGGTAACGGACGGAAGGGGACTGTCAGTATTATGTTTGGTATATAGGTATTTGGCTGTGCCTGGTATCCGTTAGAGTCTCTCTTTTTGCGTTTCTTCAGGAAACAAATTTCCTATTTTTTGTGGGGGTAGGCAAAGAGGGCTACCTGGCTGCTCTGGGGACCTACCAGGGATATTACTAACTAGTGCATTTAGACTTGCATTCATCCCCCCTGTTTTCAGCCTACCCTCACCTCAATTCCCTAATTAATTAGTTTTCAAGATATGTATCAATCGTATTTACTTATTCAATGTCTATTGATGGACATTTAAGTTATCTTACAGTATAAACTGTTACAAATAGCCCTTCAGTGAATATCCCTGTACATGCCACTTTGTGCATGTATATTTGACTTGTAATGTTTGGAAACTTGTATTACAATATTTTGTCATTTTTAAAATATGTTTTTATTGATTTTTTTTTTAAGAGAGAAAGAGGAAGGGAAAG